CAATGACTATTGAGTCTAATTACTTTGACGCGGATCAATCCTGTTTCAACCGAAAGCTCTTATTAATATTGTTTGGTTCGTTTGTAGTGGACATTTTTAATTCAGCTGCTACGGCGACTCAGTGCAGTGTCGACGTCGAGTAGTGCGAATCGACCGTTTTGTTTTTAAGTTCTCGGTTTAAATTTATTATTGTATACGTATATGTGGAGGAATTCCATTTGAAAAATGCCATGCTTAGTGTAACGCACGCTACAAAGCACAGTAGCAAGCCGGCCGGCATTGGGCCTACCCGCCCCTTGCGCTCGTCTCGAGTCGCGCTGTGTTGATCCCGTATGAATGATAAAGTGCAAGTTTAATGATGGCTGAGATATCTATAAAACACGATCGTGTTAAAGTGCCCTTACGACTAGCATCCTTTTATGAACTGTACAAGCGTTTTCTCAAGGAGCACAAGTGCAAGTGGCATGATGTTGCGAAAGTGCTCACCGCGGTTGCAGAGATACTTTTTGATGTTGACGGTGCGTGTGGCCGTCTGGTAGGCAAGGTCAGTTGAAACATGATCTTAACGGTTATCAATAAGAATTTTACAAATATTTAGTAAGAAATATCCATCAAAGTTTTATAACATATTAATGTATTCGCATTTTTAATATTAATATGTTGAAACCTCTCTTTACCGCTCTTTAGAATTTCAAAACATCCCCTTACCCTACCGTTTGCCGCCCATGAATGCGCACCAATAGCATAAAAGTGATTCTTACCTGCTCTCTTTTATGTTGTCATTCCGGAACATGAACAGTGGCCGTTTGCGTTCTAAACAGCTGTCAGAAATGCAATCTAACATTTCCTCACTAGTATTCATATTAAACCAATTCTCAATTACCCGTACCGAAGAGTGTTTTGCATCAATATTAATATTGTTGATCAGTGTTTTTATATTAAATTTTCGTAGAATTAAAAATAATGAAGTTGTGAAAGTGCTTGAAGATATAACTAGTTATAATTATCCACTTCTGTTGGATGAAAATGTGTCGCCGCGGGTACGTAAACTTTATTAAAACAGCTGTGATAATATAACAGTTAAATAATAATTATTACATGCATTCTGTTAATAGCTAAGCAGTGTTGATAAATGGCATACAAACGGTTTACTAATTTTATAATGGTAATAAAATCCAGACTATTCTATATGCGATCGAGATTGTACAGAAATGTCCAGTGAAAGGAGAAAATACGAAACACACACGAGGTCGAGGCGATATTGTAGGTGCACAAAATGTTAGTTATTTTCGTAGTGCTTCCGTTGCACCAATACTTACGTGAATGGCAAACATAGGCATTTGGCAACAAAGTACCTTACAACCTTGTGACGATAATTAGTTTCAGACGTTCATTGCTTAATCTTTCATCTAATCTTAATCAAGAACGCAAAACTTACATTAAGAGTGTACAAGATTCTTGAAATATTTTATTGCTTCAGTAAGCAAACTATGGAAAAACAAAATGTGTATCAGGGATCGTTTACAATATGATAAGCGTGAGACACGTTCACCGTTCGTGTCAGTGGACGTTTTATCGGATCGTGTCGCCCGCCCGCATCCGTTCACTCCCGATCCCGACCATTTCATTCCATGGCGATGAATGAGATAGCACACGTATTAATCTCTCATTTTAGCTTAATTTGCGTGAGATAAAACTAACCTACTGATACAGCTTGAGCTGACCTATGGAATAATGATTGTTTATTTTGCGAGATGTGTTGTGTGTGTTGCGTGTTGGCCGCGTGCGCAGGCGGCATTGTTCAGAGCGCACACATGTCCTAGTAACCTAATTACTTACCTTATTGACAGAACTGTCTTGGCTCTTGGGCGCGCTGTTCAGAGAAAGGTGTATGTTTCATGAATTCTAAAAATCGCTAACACTCTAAATAAAATTGCAATATAATCGTTATGTTGTCTTTTAAACGTCATGCAGTGACTCGTCATAAAGTAATATTGACGTCGCGCGTCGTAGTACTGCTGTTTGCCAAATTTTAATACGGATGCCAGTGCTAGCGAAAGTCTTTATGAATTTGTTATTTTCTACTGAAATTGACGTAAATGTCTTATAGAAAAATTTATGATTCTTTTGCTATTATTTTGGAACACTGATTAGCCACCGTCGTCGTAGCACAATTATCATTTGTGCAACACAGAAGATTTGTTTATTTTGATTATGTCCATGTATTAGATTGAGGAAGTTATAAAGGAAGAAATTGACTCTTATTACAAGAAAAGTAATGCGAAGAAATGCGCGCGAGACGCACACCGGCAGTGCGCGGGAGGGCGCTCCCACGGGTTGCTGATATTTTTAGTCCGCGACCATTACTTGGCACCGGCGGCCGCACTCTGCTGCGCTAGTGATCTTTCTGAAATTCGTTCATACTTAGGTATGTTCAATCTCGAATAGACCCAGTCTAATGCCCGGTGCCGAAGTATCCGCCGCGTCGTTAAGAGCATGTGCATATTTTATGATGTGAAGTTATGATTTTTTACGAATACTATTCGATATATCCCGGGTAACGTGAGTGTATAAGAAGTTGATATCATCATTATGACCGCTTTGAGTACGAGCGGAAATGGGACGACGAGCCCTAGGCGTCATCGCTACAGCCGGTCCTCGACCACAAGCGTGACTCAACTTTTGTCGGACGGGTACTCCAGCATCATTAACCGACTGACTCGACGAGGACCTTCGGAAAAATCTGATTTATCCGATGCCAAATTGAGTGCTGCACGTACCCGTTACGATGACAAATTACTCGGCAACAAGAACAGCGCTCTTGCGAACGTGAAACGATACGAAAATGCGAGACATATTTCACCGTATTCATCATTGATAACAAATGTAAATACATCTTCGAGGAAATTCAACGACGACCGCGGTTACTCCAGTTACCTGAGTTCGGCCAAATCACGTCATGAAATATCACCTTTACGTCTAAACTCAGGAATTAGCGCACTCGGGCGCAGTGACTCATTCCGAAGAGCTCATATGAAAGATAAATCGTCACCCCTCACTAAAAGGTACCCACTTAAAGAAACCAACAATAATATCGATAGCACGATTCTGTTAGGAAGTACACGTAGTAGATTAGAGGATAAATATTCATCAGTTCTCGATAGGATAGCTATTCAAAAGAAAGAAAAGGCAAGAAGGGAAAAGGCAGATCGTGAAAAAACATTGGAGCCTGAACTCTCTATGCCGAGAGGGGGACTGATGAGGAGCTTAACGACAGCAGTGTTCGGGGAAAGTTCATTTAAGCGAAACAATTACTCACGTGAGAAGACAAGAGACAAGACTCCATTTAGAAATACAACTGATCGGCGCTTAAAAGATAAAGAAGAACATAAGAATGGATACGATATACCCCTCAAAGATCGTCCTCACTATGGTAAAGATAGGGACAGCATTTACAGAAGGCACCGTCGGAGATCTCATAGGCCGGAAAAAAGTGAAACGAGTGATCGAAATGGGAAAATAACTTTACGTCCAATAGATATTGATATCCAATCAGGAGTTCGTGATTTAGTATCACCTATAGACACAGAAAAAACCAAAATAAATAGTATTAAAACACCAGCATCTTCGCCAATCAGAGAAGTGGGTAGGCAAAAACAAATATATTTTCCAACCGACGACGAAGACGACGACAAAACTCCAGTAGGAGATAGAATTTTAAGCGAAAGGGAAACGAGACGTAAGGAGATACAGAGCCTTATAATGAAGTATGCACATCTCGACGAGGTGTATGGCCGAATAGGAGAAAAGGAGGTCAACAACACGTTGGCCGAAAGTGTTGTGCCGAAGAAACCGGAGCCGATAGGTGTCGGCGATGTCGTGACGCTGCCACCTGAACTCCGAAGTCGTCACCGTCCGCAGCGGCCGCGGCATCTGCTGCGGCGAGCGGTCACGCCGCCCGTAAGCACACGCTAACCGCCTGTCGCCTGCGATCTGTGTGCCGCTAACATAAACCTGGTCCGTTGTTTTCAGTATACACTAAGCTGGTTTTCAAACACCTATATTGAATCAACAAATAAAATCGTTCACAAGCCAATAAAACCAGTGACCATGGGCTCTGTATTTTAAAGAGAACTTATTAAGTTCCACCTTATATATATATAAATTATCAATTTATTATATCGGTGATAATCGTAAATTACCATGTAAATATTTACAGCTTGTAACGGAATGCATGTAGTTTTTATGTCATTTTTAATAAGAAAATGTGGGTAGACAGAATTATTCAAATGACGGTTTTATAATCTCGACTTAAAGTAGTGCTCGTTCTAATGCCAGGCAAAAATAGAAAATTTGAAAATGCCGAGAGCAATGATAGTGCATGTGATTATGTTTTTCGTGCGTGTATTTAGAACTAACATGTCCTTTTTTTGTTTTATATATTTTCGAAATCAAAAAGAAAAGAAACGTCGCAGCAGGTTTTCTCAAAATGTTCGTATATTGTTTATAGTACACGATATTAGGTTTTCGGGTGGACATTATTCCTTATATCCATTCTGTGAGGAAACCGTGAAAGTGGATTTGTGTGAGTGCAGTGTGTCACGGAGCCTTTTTCTAGCGGATCCTAGTTCCTGGTCCGGTCCCGTTCCCATCCGACCTTCCAAGCAGCGGCATTCCAAGCTCGACGGACGCCCGAGGTCACGTGCGACTCGGGCGGCCGCCCTGCGCCGTCTTGCAGCGCCCACCCGTCCGCCCTCTAACAGCATGTACGACACTCCATACAATTGTCGCTTGTCTGACGGGCAACCGTTCCATTGTCTGATTGTTGGGTACAACACTACTCGGGTCGTGGCGATCGCGTGGCGCTCTTCGTGGCATGTGGCATCTGGTGTGGCGTGACGGTGCACGGTGCGTGGTGGCGATGTCGGCGGCGTGGCTGCGTGGTGGCGTTGTGGCTGCGACGTGGCGTCGCGCCGGTGCCGGGACGGGGCTGCCTGCAGACCTCGCGCGCACGCTCCTCCGTCAAGGACGACAGAGACGGACACCTCGTCTACTGGCCCGGATATGTCATGGGAGCGAGATGTTCGTGTCCACACCATAACTTAAAACCAATACCATACATATCACATACCTACAAACACACTTACAAACAACACTTAGGTGTATTCATACACATGCACATCACTTACATGATATACATACTCACCATACAAATCACAACGAACAAAATCAAGATATCCGAATTCGATACAGAAAAATCAGAGTCATTTTACTTTGCAGTTCAGTGATCCGTGTTTAAGAGAAGATATTTCTATTACCTCTCTTTAATTTTCTAGATTTTTCACTTCTTTAATCAGCGATCGATCTCATTTTATGTGACGGAGTCACGAGTAGTCATGTTGGAACCACCTGTGTCGGTCTTTTGAGGTCGTCGAGCAGTAATCGTTGTTATTGAAATCTATCAACTTACTGTGATGGCTCTAGATCGGTGCCGGATTCCTTCATGACTTTGTTACCATACGCCTTACTGATTATGTTTACCTTGGTTTTATTACAGACAAAATCATCGACACGCTCGGTGAAGGCACCTTCGGCAAGGTGGTGGAGGTGAAGGATTTGGAAATGTGAGTACGAACTAGCCTTTGTTGTTATCGTTTTAGTACTTAAACTTTTCGCTGTAATCGTTTATAGTGCTCTTTTCTAATGATAATTTTTATTGAAATCTAAACAAATATTTATTTGTTACTAATATATGTATAATTTGTGTTTCAGTCTTTGTTAGTCTTTAGTAGTCGTAGTAAAACTTTTCTTAATTAACAATCGATGATTATTGAAATAGCATTTCTTACTTTGTATGTCTGGTGGTTTCCATTGCATGGTTTATTTGTTAGTAAGTGAGTAATTGAAACAAAGGAAGATTACAGACAAGAATGCTATATATTATCTGTGATAACCTTATTACCTCAGTAGTTGTTGCCTACGCAATGACATAAGCTTTTAAGTTACACGTTTGGTCGTTTTTGTTAAGTTTTAAAAACCATTAGTTTGTTTATTCTTTATTTAGAAAGTAATTAGTCACCTTAAACTGTCTGATGGTGTCATTCACATCTACCCGGATGACACACGTTGTTTGGCGCTACATACCTCATTTCAATTATCAAAAATCTATTTCAGTTTTGTTTATGTTGACGCATCTATTTTCTCTTTAATTATTGCCAGCGAATGCCGAATTTTGTCTGCGCAGATAAAATTTATAGCACACTATTTTTAATTTTCAGGGAGCACAGAATGGCTTTGAAGATAATCAAGAACGTCGAGAAGTACAGAGAGGCTGCAAAACTAGAGATTAACGTATTAGAGAAGTTAGCTGAAGTGGATCCTGATTGTAAACAGTGAGTTGAACAGCTTTATATATTGTCACTCTTTTCTGGTGGTCAGAGCCGGATGCTTTGCGAGTAGTGTAACAATATTTGACCTTGCTAGTTTATGCGCGACGTTATGGCCGACGCTGGCGAACCGCCAATGAAGATCTCTGTGTCAACTCAATACGTAAAAATACCATCCGCTGACTTGTCCCTAATATTCTATTTAATGAAATTGAACGCCCTTGATACTGACTGGACATCATGATGCCCTTGATCATTTCAAACAGAAAAATATTATAATTAATAATTTTTATAAGTCGTTTAGTTGTATATGTTTAGTGTTTAATACAAATTATTGTTTCTTTATTTTCAGCTTATGTGTGAAAATGTTAGACTGGTTTGAATACCATGGCCACATGTGCATCGCGTTTGAAATGCTCGGGCAAAGTGTATTTGACTTCTTGGTGAGTTATTGTGAATATAATTATTGCGTATGCTATTGAATAAGTCGCAATTTCAATCATTCCACGGTACTATTTTGATTGCCACCGACATTGAAAATAAAAGTTTGATACCCCATAAAATGTATAAAATACTGTTAATGACGTAGGGTGACGAGAGTAGTGTGGATGTCGCCAAGTGGTATAATCAGACGACCAATTGGGCGGCTAGCCCTTTAATGGAATTGAATGGTACCATTCAACATGGACACTACTGGTGCGAAAATAAAACACTTAGGGTTTCTTCGAAAACTTGTAATGCTCAAAAAAACAGGTCCTCGTCAAAAGCTCATTATTATTACAAGCATTAACATAAAAACAATAAAACTATGTATAAGAAACTATAAAAACATAGATAATTATAAAAAGAGGTTGGTCTAGCTGTTTGTCTACATGTTTGACATATTTCTTGTTTTCTTTATTAGTTTTCAATAAATTTTTTTATCCTGGTAGAGCTTCTGCTACTGATAGTTAGATTCATTGAATTCCCATTGTAGCAAATACACTGCTATCGACATCTTTGGTCATAAATTCTCCAGATATAAAAATATTGTGTGTGACTAACTTCTTTAAAGTCCAGATATCTTCACCTATGAAATAATCCCTTTTTTATAAGTCTTAGGATAGCGTAAGTTAGTTTTTATTGCAAGGATTTTATAGATCGTCCACTGAAAATTGTTAGTTAATCATGCTGTGTACACTAAATTTGGATTATTGTCCAGTATAAATAATCTGATATATTTGTCGAAGTCATGTGTTGGATGTAATCTGTAAGTGCACCTACTTTAAATTAATAAATAGACATAAAACAACTATTCTTCTTGAACAAAGGTAATATTAAACAAAATATGCACCACATCATGCGTTTTGAGATGCACTTAGCAATTTTTAATATGAATTTAGTATTATTTTGGAATTTAAAGTAATATTTCATAAATATATTAATGTTTACTTGCTGAATTAAGATTTAATGACGTCAAGTTTATATGGGTAATGTCACTTTAAACTAATTAATTAATGTAATGAACCCTTGTGCAACTGGCTGTTAATCAGTTCCTTTTTTCTTATGTTAATTATGTAAATCTAGAAAGTTTCTTATTCTAAAGTGTTGACAATTAGATAATAATCTAACCCAGACAATAATAAATCTTGTCGGTGTCAAGCGATAACCCTTGTACTATGACACTACATTCATGTTGTAATATCATTATTATTGGGTCACTGTAGCGTTGTTGTCTTTCCTTTTCCTGGTTACCAACTTTGAGCAATAATCTAAAGGCAATAATTAATATTTATGTATACATAATATATGAATATTACACATTTTATATTAATCAACAAATTGTTATTATAATATCCATAAATCATTTATTTCGACTATTGCTCATTATAGTACACAAGTATTGGTATATTTTATTGAAATCGAATGCTTTTAAAAGTGTGCTATGATAAACTGATTTTAGAGTTTTCTATGTGGAAAATTACATAATTAATATTAATATGATTTAAAGCATTAAAATACTGTATCCGATATTCGTGTCGCTTATATAAAATTTACAAAATATTAATATCGATGTTCTTTTTTTTTGTAGGAAAACAACAATTACCAGCCGTACCCGTTGGAGCAGGTGCGGCACATCGCGTACCAGCTCGTATACAGCGTACTGTTCCTGCACGACAACAAACTCACTCACACCGACCTCAAACCTGAGAACATACTGTTTGTCGACAGCGACTACGAGGTCGTCAACGTCTATAGCAGTTCCAAGAAGGTATTACAAACGTTATTCATTTTATTATCTTGCAGAAGATACCTCCGGCATGGTAGCCGAGTTTTTTTTTTAAGTATTTTTAATCTATCTATAATCATTTTTTTAGAGATATTTATATATTATATAGTTATATTGAGATTCATAATAAAAAAACCCGTAATATTTTGCTAATAGGTCGATTGCTGTAACAATTGAGCTATTCGAAACATAGTGGAGACTCCTGGAGTTTCTCAAATACATTTATTTCAACAATGTTTGGATTTTTACCTTGAAATACACATTATTAGTATTTATTTTAATTTATTGTTATTGATCACTTTGTATTTACTAAATATGGAAGTACACCCGCACCTACGTTCTTGAAAATTTTATGTTCTTCATATTTATTTGTTATTATTAGCCATCCATTTTATCAGGGCAACCATGCAGAGCCAAAGCTATGAGTTATTTATAAATAGACTTGACGTCATCTAATTATTTACATGAATTCAGCAAACCACACATCGACCGCATTTGTCGCACAGGAACTGAGATAGTGTAGACTGCCAACCTAATAATAAAAACTATTGTCAATAAAATAATCAGTTCTAAAAAATGTTCTTTTATGAGACGCTATCATCAATGAGTAGCTCGGTGGCGTAGTTAATAATCACACCACGTTAAAAACCGTAGTATCGCGGCCCGCGATCATTGTTGTTAAGCAACTTTCGCAAGGGTTTTTGGCCAATAATCCCATGGGATTATTAACTCGAGCTACTCTATCCTTCGGAAATCACGTTAAGCAGTTGGTTCCGGCTGCATTTGCAGTCGTTAATCCGCATTAAGGCAGCCTGGAAAGTAATGACCCATTCTTCTTCGCCATCCATAAGGAAGGGCTGAGCCTCACAATAGGGACGTTAAAAGGCTGATAATTATGGTATAATTTCTAAAGTCTAGATTACGTAATAAAACTAGCAACTTTATATTTCCAGACTCACGATCTTCTACGTGTAAAGCGCAGCGACGTCCGACTGATAGACTTCGGTAGCGCCACATTTGACCACGAATACCACAGCACTATTGTATCCACGCGCCATTACAGAGCACCAGAGGTCATTTTAGGTAAAATAAAATAATGATAATAACAATAAATCTACATAATAATCCATGGTCCATGAGTGCATGTTGCTGATAATAGAATGTTACCTAAATATATTTTTTTTATGTGTGATTGGTTTCTCGGTTTAAAATATTGACCTCATTTAGTAAACAAAATAATTTGCTGATTTTTATTCAACTAAAAGCTATGAGATAAATTTATATTACAAGTGCGAACTATAAATTTATCTCATAGTTTTAAGTTAAATAAAAATTTAATAAACTAAGCCAGCTTATTTGATTTGGACTCCTTGCATATTTTTCCTCACGAATGACGGTCGTGGCGGCATGGATAGCTTCCTGACCCTAGAATTATTTGGACATGGAACCTTAAAAATGATATATTGTGTGTAGTTTTGAGCGCACAATTTTCTAAAATATCTTCTGATCTTGCTTTTGTATTGTACATTGTAAATAATAGGAACATCTAAAACTTTTGCGTTACGAAGATCTGATACGATGAAGCTACTAGAAAGGTCCGTTTTCTGTATTTATCTGTCTGGAAACGCTTACCCTACATCTACCTAACACTAGTCCTATTAGATCATGAAACAGACTTTTGTGTAACTTACTAAGCGACAGGTAAATAGGGTATTTTACTCCGTTTGAAATACAACTTGCAAGTGTTTTTATTATAATTTAAGCCATAAATCAATTATTTCGGAAAAACAAACGCATTTGCTTGTCTAAAAATTAAATCAAATTTTAAACTTGTTTTATACCCGCAAAAACGGTGTCCAACATATTCAGGACGTTATTCGGATATGTATACAAAACATGCATAACTAACTACTACAGTTTAAAATATGACAATAAAACAAGAACAGTGCCATCTAATTATCGATAAGGAAATAAGAATAGAGCCATCTAGAATTTTGATGTATAATAAATAGGCGTTGTACTGACAGCTATCGCCAGAGTGACGTCACACAATGGCGGGTCGTGTTTCAAACGTGACACGCATACAAAATATCTCTATGTTTATTATGAAAAATTTTCGTGCAATTTCGTGACTTATTTTTCACTATCGAAACTACCCTAAATAAGTTCCGATCGATGTTCCAGAGCTCGGGTGGGCACAACCCTGCGACGTGTGGTCCATCGGTTGTATAATGTTCGAGCTCCATCTCGGCATCACGCTGTTCCAGACCCACGACAATCGGGAACATCTCGCCATGATGGAACGCATCCTAGGACCCATCCCTTACAGGTAACATTATATTTAACACTTATAACTATTCCATACACGGTAGTACCACATATTTAAATTTGAAAAAACTTAGATAAGTTGCTAAATTCAGGGAATACCTTGTTGATATGATTTAAATTATTAGGAGTACCTCGGTGGTGTAGTGAATAATTTACACAACCCGCGATCATTGTTGTTAAGTAACTTTCGCAAGGGTCGGTCACGGGATGGTTGACCAAAAAATTATTACACCCGTATTGTTAATTGAAGTCTGTACTCACGATAGTTATACTATCATAAGACAATATAGTACGCATAATAGAGAATTTCCTTTAATTAATTTTTCAGAATGGCGAGAAAAACAAGGACAAAATATTTCTACCACGGCAAATTAGACTGGGACGAAAAATCGTCAGCGGGCAGATATGTTAGAGAAAAGTGTAAACCTTTATTGGTAAGTAGTTTGTTATTATCCCAGGTTTTATTGTTCATCGTGAATCAGTTCTTTTCTGGTGTACTGAAATATTAAATTCTAGTCAATAAGATACGTTTAGAATTTAATTGTAATCTGTTGTTTATTTTAACGATATTATACGTGTACATTTTGTACTATGACAAATAGCATGGCGTTTGAATATTTTGAAGTGACCGCATTTTTTTCGTTTTTCTTCTAGAGCAATAATGATAGTAATAAAATATATCTTACCCTTTTTTGAATCAGAAGCAAACAAATTACTTTTTTTTATTTATTGTGTCATATTATCTTTTGCAGAGGTATATGCAGAGTACTAGCGAGGAGCACCGGCAGCTGTTCGACCTGATCTCCCGCATGCTGGAGTACGAGCCCGCGCAACGCATCACGCTTCGTGACGCTCTGCATCATCCCTTCTTCGCTAAGTTGCCGCCACACCAGCGATTAGGTCACCATCACCACCTATATCATCATCACTATAAGCATACACTTCTGTAGTCCGTTTCACAAAGCATATAGGGTACAGTGACGTTTGTTGACAAATCCACTTCGCGCAATTTGTATATCTATGTAATTAAAAAATATCGTTATAGAAAGTAGTTTGGCGGTGTTGATTTTAGATATTTATTTAGATTTGCACATTAAAACACAAATAAATTTTTAATAGGGTAAAAAACTATTGTGCTGAAAACTAACTTAAACAGTTGTTTGATACATTATAAACGCATTGTCAATATATTTCATGCGAATCTGTTATATTTTCGATGAAAATAATTATTATAGTTTAAATACCCAAAATCGTGCAAAAACACTACTGTATGTAATGACGCTGATCACGTATCTTATGACGACACATGCCTGTAAATATGTCATGGCGACATAACCTATTTATCAAGTTGTCAATTTGCGAAGTTTTTATAGGGATCGAATTAATAAAAATATTTTTAACGAAATATGTATTCGGTAATCGTTTGGCATTTTTTTAATTATTATTGTAGGTACAGTTACATTTAACTATAATAAAATTTTGTATTTTTCTGATAGGAGTTCATCTTGCTGATATATAAATATTTTTCTTATATCCTGTTTTATACATAAACTTATAAAAACTTTAAATCACAAACGTCATTTGTAAAACCCATGCTATGTGAAAAAGAGTACATTCACATATTTCGTTGGCTTTCATATATAAGGGTTAAACTGCAAAATCGTGACTTTTCAAAGTTTAGAAGTTTCTAAGAGGCATATTTATTTAACTAAATTAAACTGACCTTTATACATAAAACCCATCGATACATTGCTGTAGTATATGCAAACTGGATCCAATCATACAGAAAGATTGAATAACTTCATATATTTCTTTGCATAACAATAGGTCTATATAAAGTTTCTGCCTATCTAATATTTATTAGAATAGATTTCAACATATCCTTTAGTTTCCACTACCACTTATCTTTACGGATCAACACCAAATCGAATACGTAAATTGTAGTACATCGGCTCAAGCGATAACTATCAAGACGGTCTTTTTAAAATATCCAGTCGCTTATCTTTCTGATAGGGCAATAGATTTGCCATGAGTCTATTACAAAATCTGTGTAATCAGTCATTGTATTGTATTCTCACCAAAAGATTTCTGTCTAAATAAAAAACAACATTCTTTTAAAAATAAAGATTAGGTAATCGTCAAGTTCCTGAAAATGATTGTACGCGCACAATTGATAGAATAGCATAACCAATAAAAGAATAATTTTTCTATTAGATCTATCTCGTGGTTGATTTCAGTTTGCATTACTACATTTTTTTTTATCAAATATAAAGCTCCAAAAATGAACAGAATAGGACGAAGTTAAGGATACCTCAATTAGACTCTTAAATATTTATTTTGAAGTTAAAAATAATATAAATACATGGGTAACAAGCGGTCAAAATCCATGTACTGGTGATAACATTAGCTCAAATTTTTGGTTGCGCCAATAACATTAAATAGATTTGCATACCAGATAAAATATAGTCCGAGAGAAATGTCAATGGATTTAGTCCAACTTTTCGCAGATATTTTATATACTTCTACTATTTTTAAACATTCAAAACCGACTGAAAGTGGTTAATAAAAGAAGCGAAAGTATATTTTATCGCATAAGTAATATGAGTCTTCATATAATTAGTACAAGTATTGATATCTATCTAAAATATATATTGCGCCAAATGATTACTCACGCAGACTTTTAAAGCTCGCAGTTACGTGTATGGATGTCAGGGTCAACCTATATTACCAAAAGTTCTTGTGTAACAGGACCAGTGTTAATGAAACACCCACATGTTTGTAATTATGAAGACATTTTAAATTGTAATTAGATTTTTTAATACTAGGTAACTGTTTCTGGTTATATTATAAATGTTGTTTTCAATTTAAAATCATCTGACATGCCCTTGTTCATAATTATAAATAATAATAATTATTATAATGAGGCCAATTTGACCGGTCTTTTTATTAATGTAATTTATTACGGAATAAAATTTCATAAGCCGATTGGACGGTTTGTTAGTGCCAATGTGTGATGTGTAATGTTTTGTTATAGGACACCAGTTTACAAGGCCGTCGTTCCTTAGGTCAGGCCTATTCGATCGTTGTTAAATGCTTAAAAGCTTTTTTTATTCATATAGAAATAGATAATATGACATAATTTTAATTCGTTTGATACTGTGTTGTCAGTGTGCCGTTGATTTATGCTTTTATTATTTTTTAATAGTCAATAACATTTTGTGTCTCCATAATTTCTTTATGATGCGAATCGAAACTCTGTTATTCTTATATATTGTACCAGGGCTGTGAGTGTTTTATTCCGATTATTTTTATTTTTACGTTACTACAGCATGGAGTTGCACTTCAAATCTGGTAGCGATTGGCGCGAGTTCAAATTCATGCAGTGTACAAAGAGATTCCGATCGCATTGTTTATTTTTCTCATTCGCCTTCTATCATCAAAATAATTTCTCACTATTTCTTTATAAATAAAAATTTCGACCGCTATATATATACATACAGTCAATCTGTTGAGAAAAACGTCTAGTCATTTATAAAAATTATCCAAAGTTTTAAAATTTCATATTTCCTTTCTACTCATTCAAACAATTGAAAAAACAATTGAAGTGATAACAATAAGTAAATAGATAAATAATCAGAGATGGTCAAGATGTATTCTCTATTAATATATTTAATCCATCATTGAAGATTGTTTATTGTAAAATTTTAATTATTAATCCATACATTTTGTAACCCAATGAACTTTTATTGATTACATTTTGTCTATCTTTAGTTATAAATACTAAAGTGACTCGGATTGACTGTATAAATAAGTTTTGTTTCAAATGGTATGTGCTATAACTAGTATAATGTAATGTTAACAGGCAATGACCGGTCGCGGTGCAACGGTGAGAGTTCTGGTTCGCGCGAGAGATCGCACTCCCTCAGCAGGTGAGGGGTGCGGCCCGCGTGACGGCCCTGTGCGGACTGAGTGCGGCCCTCGCGTGATACGTGACGGTGATGATGATGATGACGCGGGGACACGGATCATCCGCTGCGGCCAGTGCGATAGTCAATTCGGCGGGACCCCGCGGCGTGCGCGGATACTTGTACAGTTGTAATGAAGTGATAAGTGATAATTGTAATATCGTCGAACATTATAATCTAGGTAATATTTTGTTGTGAATCGGTACTTCTCAATTTGTATTTATAAATAATTATTCGAAATAAAGACTGTCGGTCTGAAATGTTTATGTTTGTTTTTTTTTATTATTATTATTTTTGTTGACGACGATAAAATTAGCTGGAAACGACAATGCAATACAATGATCTTTGACAACGAAGCGGTATATGATTTAAAAGTAAAAACTTAACACGTTTTGCTATAAATAAAATGATTTCACCCATTGGAAGCTACTTCGCATAGGTGATTCACATTTGTCTTTGATCCATAATTATTCAGATTCTAGGTTTTATCACGTTATAATAATACGTATATATACGTATTTCGTCCTAATAATGTGATATTAATATATTCGATCGGAATAGTCCGAGCGATAAAATATGTTGTGGTTGTTGAGGTCATTTGCGTAGTTGAATGCACTTGTCGGTACCCAAAAGTGGTGAATACTTCTATGTTCCATTTTTTGTCACGCTAAAATGAGTTGGATTTATAAGAATGAGCTTTTACATAGTGCTATATTTTAGAAGATATAGCGCTGCCAGATTAAGGTCATTTCAAAATTACATCTGAAAATATGTATTTTTACCATTTATGTCCCAAACTGATATGTACGAGATGGACGACCTGCATGACGAACTCGAGAACGTTTTGTCTACACTCAAATGTCACTTCTCGGGTGCGCTCATACAACGTCTCACTCTCGACCCGAGAAAGTGACATTTGGGTGTAGACAAAGCGTTTCTCGAGTTTGTCATGCTATACGTGCTGGAAAGTTTTTCGAGTAATAACTAACGTCAGCCCAGTAGCGCCGCTAACTCTCGTTTATATCCGCAACTACGTTACTTTGTTATTTGTCCCCACTTTTTAATGGGTCGATAAAGGACTAAATGATCAAGAACTCCTTTCAGTATCGGAGAGGGTGGTGTTGCCAATCTTTATTCGTAGTAGAAATACTTAGATAAGATAGCGCCGAGAGAAATACTTCAGGACAGGATCAGTCAGTCCAGCAGCGCCACAGACTCCAAACCTGCAGTTAATTTGCCATTTTGCCCATTTTGGTAATGGACTGAATTCGCTTTCAATGACTGGACTAATGACGACATAATGCGACAAATCGAAGAACTCCATCAGGAGCAAAAAATAAAAATTCACGTTCTAGATTTTCATAAATATATTTTCAAATTTACATAAAAATACCACATTATCATCATATAAACTTAATAAAAACAATAATTAATTTGAAATAACCTAACGTATCTTTATAGAAATTAGCAAATGGTATAATTAGCAATAGCAGTATCACAAAATAATAATAATAATGACGTGGAATGACAGTTTGTTGATAAAAATGAAGACAATAAAATTCAAGTTTTATTCAACATAATATTTTTTATGGCGATTAACAAATAAATAAATGAAAGCAATGAACAATTTACAATTCATCCTAACTTTATAGACCCAATTGGGTAAATTGGACACAATTCTACCTATTAGGTATTAATTAATTTTAAATTAAAACAGCCCCAAGTAATAATATTTAAATACCATTATATCACTATCACATCGTTCCCCCTAAATGAATTTATTATTGAAGCAATCATTAGTAAGAAGATATAGTTGTATTAAGGCAAGTAACAGCGTCGAGGCTCAATTACTGTAACAATATAAAGAAAAGAAAAGTAGGCCAGTGGTTCGTAACATTTTCATGAATTGTTACCCCTCCCTACGACTTATTAGTGTCCCCTGGCGCGGTATCTAACGAGGCTAGGAGTACTACCGCCTAACTCTAGCCATTGGATACATCTCAGCATTGTTATTGCAATAATTCATTTCATTTTACTATTTCCACATGCCTTTTTGGAGGATAAACGACTAAGTTGAAAACAATGCTGTCAAATCCATAAGCAACATTCTTCAACATTCATTCGCGTTTTTATAAAAAATATCAAATTATTAAAATGAAATGTAATATCGCCATAATATCTCTAAGATGTCGTATCCAATGCCCAGTCATGAGAGTTAAGCGAGGGTGGTTATACCTAGGAACCAGTGATCTTGTTTTCTTCGAAACGAATACATCAAGACTAATATATTATTTGCCTTTCCTCAAATAATTTTATTTTCTCAGATTCATATAATGGCAGAATAAATTTAAAATCATCCTGTTTATACTTTTATTTAAATGTAGCTCTGTCAAAACAGGCATTTACAAAATATATATAAATATATTACAGTATATTAATAAAAAATATTACAAATCAGCAACTAGTGTGTGTAAACTGCCGATTGACAAACATTTTCTAAATAAATAATTCAAAGTCAGTACATTATATAAGCGCAAGTTATGTTACAGGATAGAAAATATTGACAAACAAACACAGAGAACTGTGAATAAACTACAAAAGCTTATTGTATCGAAAGGATGTACAAAAATTTACATTTTTTGTGATGCTTTTTAGTTTCGTTTCTGACATCAATCTAAAGAAACAATTAGTTCGTATTCATTGAAATAGATTTTAAAAATTTTATATATGTAAGAAGTTCCTTTGAAAATAATCTTCACTGATTTAAAAATTTGCATTGGCATGTTACAAAATACAGTGAAAACCTGAAGCTTCACCATAGCTTATAAAAATTGAATGTTAAAATAAGACAGTGCTATAATCATCTATACCACCATCACACTTTTAGAATTGCGTAAATATCTTACAGTAACACTCCTGGAGTGAATTAAGACATTTCGCCTATTGGGATTTACTTTTTATTTTAAAAAAGTTGTTTGTTTTTGCAATGCTAAGTGTAATTCAGAATTGAAATCATCGTCAATTATTTTCTATATCAGTAACGTTACTAAGTGGCCAGTGAGCGCGTGGGTTAGCATTGATGTAGCTAAGGATTTTTCTTAGGGGGGGCACGGTCCCAGACATGAATCTTGTTAATAATGAAGTTATCTTATGAGAGAGGGATTTTTTCTAAGGTGGGCCCTGCCCCCCCTGGTCCCCCGTAGCTATATCTATGGTCGCTAGATCATATCGACAGTTGGTCCGTCGTTAGGCCACGAGTACACTGGTGGCACGGCGGCTGAATATCTAACGTCATACATTTGTGCACGGATAAACTTTTCTGTGTCTATGGGCTGCGGGTATACTGATGCTTTGCCTGTAAACAAATCGTTTTTATATTTAAAAAAATTTGTAAACCATAAAATTGGCACAAAAGGCGGACTTAGTGCTAATAGCATTCTCTGCTAATCAACCTTTGGGGAACGGAATAACATGATGACGGCATAAAGTCAAGTAACAAATATACTAGTATAAGTAATACTATATTATAAATGAGTTTATATACAATTACGTATTATACATACATATACACATATGATGATGATTTTCATAAAAGTTCCAAGAGAAAAGTGTGAGCTGACTCAGTACACTAATCCTACTTCAAAGAAGCTATTTTAGATATATCATAGGAGCTTATTAGCGCTGTTATGGTGCGTCTCGTCTGTGATTAAATAATAATGAAGTTAAGCAACTTTCGCAAAGGCTGATCATGTGGTGGGTGACCAAAAATTTATTATCTGAGACCTTATTTTTATGTAAATAAAAACTAATGTCAATAACATATTAAGTTAAGTATAATTACCGAGATCGTATGCGCGTTCCACGATTTTCTTCGCTATTTTAACTGAGCATTCCTGTATTTGTTCGAGAGGTGGATACAAGCTTCCTTGGTCCAAACTTTGTTGTGTTACGATTTCTGATAACGCCTGTAAAGAGAAAACATAACAGTTTACAATAATTACCAGCCATAATTTATTTTGGTCGAAGGCAAAACGTTGACGATTTCGTCATCGTTACATAAACACCATTAATCAAAAAATGAAATTCTCTCTGGCAATGCTTTGTCACTAGTTACGATACTATAAGGAATGCAATATAAGTTACTTTATGAAGGAATGGTTCTTCTATACATAGTATAAAATAAAGTCCCTTCCCGCTGTCTCACAACCGATTTTATTACGATTTTCATCAATTCACAGAGTAATACAAGGGAAAGATTTATTACAGGACCACGCGAGCGAATCTGCTGGAGGAAAGCTTGTACTATATTTATATATACTAATATAATAAAGAGGAAAGATTTGATTGTTTGTTTGTTTGCTACGAAACTACTGGACAGATATTAAAAATTCTTTCACCTACTACATCAGATACTGTATGTTATTCTCAAATTATTAAGGTTTAAAATCAAGTGAATAAATTAGATAATTTTGGATAGGTATGCCAAAACAAGAAAAAAGGGGGAGATTGGAGTTGACATGTAAAGCTAATCAAGTATGTTTATCTCGTTCTAACAAGAGGTATACTGTATGTATCTAAGATAACTACTTTTAATTTCTTCTTGTCCTTTGTGGCTGTTTTAAAATGTAACGCTACCACGATAAAGTTTACGCCGTTTTAAAACGCAACAATGTACGTATGACGTGTCATAATAAAACGTGTAATAATAAAACGTGATTGGATGCTAACCTCGGTGGCGTAGAGATTAAGCGCCGCGGCCCGCGATCGTTGTTGTTAAGCAACTTTTGCAAGGGTCAGTCACGGGACGGGTGACCAAAAAATCATTGTCTCGAGCTACTTCGTGCTTCCGAAGGCACGTTAAGCCGTTGGTCTTAATTCTGCATTCAGGTCGTACTGCATTTGCAGTCGTTAATACCCTCCAATGGAGTGGAGCGTGGAGTGACCCATCCTCGCTAACCATCCATCAGAGAAGGCCTGTGCCCCTGCAGTGGGGTCGTAAGAAGAGCTGATGATGATGGTTGCTTACCTCGGCGGCGAGCAGCATAAAGTCATCGGTGATGTCTATAATGCCGGCACACATGATGCCGAGCGCCAGGCCGGGGAATATGTACGCGTTGTTGCCCTGCCCCGGGCGCAGCACGCGGCCGTCCTTGGCGCGGTAGTCGGGGAACGGCGAGCCGGACGCGAATACAGCGCGGTCCTTCAAAGTAACGTTCACATAAGCATAAACATCTGCTTTAGGTACACCGTTTCGCACTCGCTCGCGAACGCGAAACATCTGCGACACTGTGCGAACGATGACAGGGTCATGTCGTGTCAGGGAACGATGTCATGTTTTGAGAAACGAAATAGGGATGATGTCAAAATTTTTGTTTTCTTATTTACCACCAGGTAGATTGATTGTGTGTTCTGTTGTTGAAAAATATGAAACACGTATTTTTTTTCGAACCTAATCATTAAAGGACGGCGATAGATTGAGTAAAAATTTCACATGACGTCACGCTTTTATACATTTTCTACAAAACTGTGACATATCGAGCCCCCCCTCCTCAACTTTAATGCCTGTTACCTAAGGTATTTCTTGTTAAATTAAAGTAACAAATAAATAAGTATCTAATATTTTTGTCTTATCTGACTGACGGACTAAATAGTTTTTTTTACTCAGTCTTTATCCTTATTCGTGATATTCGGACAGTCATCAGAAAACGGGTTGGGTGGTAAACGTATTAAATAAACCAACTATTTCTTAAGTAATGCAAAAGAAAAAAAAATGAAGTAAAGAATATATACTAATATTATAAAGCTGAAGAGTTTGTTTGTTTGTTTGAACGCGCTAATCTCATGGACTACTGGTTCGAATTGAAAAATTCTTTTTGTGTTGAATAGACCATTTATTGAGGAAGGCTTTAGGCTAAATAACATCACACTGCAACTATTAGGAGCGAAGAAATAATGGAAAATTCGGACGAAGTCGCTGGCGGCCACTAGTTAATAATAAAAATAGAAGTGGACTGATTCTTCGGTCCATCAGTATAATTTGGTGAGTTTCTAATGTAATTAATGCCTTTTCTAAGTATTACATGATAAGCATTTTAAAACTTACGTCAGTGTTACTGTAAGCTTCCTCGGCAGTGCACTCGGCCTTGCTGGTTGGGTTGGAGAGGGCGAAGATAACAGGTCGATCGTTGAATGACGCCATCTTGCGGAGGATTGACGGAGTGAATGCACCGCCGATTGCCGCAGCGCCTGTTTAAGATATTGATACTTATAGGTATTTTCTGCTAGTCAATCGCAGAACTTGACTATGAGAATTTAAGCAACATATGGTTATATACATGGTTACCAAGGTATTCGGTAATTTTATAAATAGGAGAAACAAATATGTAAAATATATGACCAATTAATTCTCTATCTAAAAAAGTGTGTCTCTATCTCGATATTTTTGATAAAAGTTTTGAGGTAGGCAATCCAGCCCTTGGTCAATATGCAAAACAACTGTTCTAATTCTGAGTAATAAGGTTCCTTCATTGTTTCAAATTTCTATAACTCAATCAGCTACTTGACTTAGTTTCATCTGATCAAAAGGTCCGCCAACTTTTATTATAAGTAAGAGTTTATTTGATTTCAAAGGAGAAATTTAAAGAGCACACATTTATAAAAAAGAGTATGAGTTATGGTAACATTTTTGGTATTGTTTGGTTACAATAAGAAGCGCGACATATAGTGACTTGCACTATAATAATAAATTATATTTTAAAAAAGTTCTAAAGACTACACCTACAATACTCTAGGGTACGGCTAGGAACCCTAGCGAAACCTGTTGTAGTCTAATATTGATTTTAATCAATTAGGGTTGTACACAACTTTATTTATATTTTTATTTTATAGATATACATGAGATGTCTCGAAAAAAAAAATAAGTTTAAAGTCTAAAAGTAAAATTTAATTTTCATAATTTATCCCGAAAACACCAACTACTGTCATGGAGTCTCTATGACGTCACGCTACTCTAAAACTAATATCGTTCTATATATGCCTAAGGTTTAATTCTCTAAGTTCTGATTAAGAGAGGCGTGACGTCACGCGCCGTCTGCGTTTACGTGTCAACAAGTATAAAATATTTGATTTTTCATAATTAAAGTGTGATTATCAGTAATATTATATTAAATGTTACCAGAAAAAAAAAGATGTGTATTTATTTTCCGTTTACAGTCTACACCCGTACTCACCAATGAGTACAGAAGGCTTGACCAAGTCGACGACTTCCTCTAGCGTGCGCACTGGCGGATGTTCGTGTGCGAATTTCTCCTTGTGCTCGTTGAGGCCGCCTTCTGGTCGGTTCTTCACGATCAGCCCCTTGGAGTCGACCATGTAGATGCGACCGCGTGCATCTGCTTCAGACGTGCCTTCCGCCTTCATTGCCATCACGCACAGCTCCGCGATACCCAACGACGCCTATAATAAAAGTATAAAAATTATAAATACATACGAACACAAGGCATCAAGTTAGGTTACCAACGTTATGTTGATCTGTCGCAATTAATTTTTCCAGTCTAATCTTGAGGTTTTAAGCTTTTAAAATAGTGAGGAAATTTGATAGATTTGTATAACCTGTTTTTGACTGTACTAAAGGTTAAAAATATATTTTTTAAATTAAATTAAATTTAAATGTTTTTTGGTTAAGATCATTTGAGATGGATAAAGATACCTAAATTTTAGGGTTAGAAGTGCGCAATGAAAATTTTACAGTTAACTATCTGTTTAGAAAAATATAATAACATGATTACTGTAGACATTGTAGTAGATGAGATGTAGTGTGATAAAAAACTGTTATTGCTCAAAAGTATATACTGAAAAACAAACGCCCAGAAATCAAAAACTTAAGTAAATAAATCTGGGGGCACGGCAGTGGACCTTATTTTATTATCCTTTTCTGAAACCATTATAATAAACTACTGATTGTGTACCTCGCCAGCGCCTTGGAAGACGATGGTGTTATCTGAAAGCTTCTTGCCGGTGATCCTTAAGCTTGTGAGGAGTCCAGCGACTGCAACTGATGCGGTTCCTTGGATGTCATCGTTGAATGTACAGTACCTGATTAACAAAATTGCCTAGATTAATATAAAGGTATTGAAATAAGAAGCCGTCGTTGTCTAAAAACCTCGTTTTTGAAAACTTGAGTAATATTAACCAACTTTGAAATTATAGTCATATATAAAAAAATATTCCGACTTTACTATCTCCTAGCTCGCATTTAGTTACAGTGTCCGAGATCCCAGGTTCGATTTCCGGCCGGGTCAATGAAGAAAATGAATTTTACTATTCTTAATACAAAATGCTTAAAAAACACAAGCTTTAACTACTTATGAAAAGCTCGAAATATGCGATAGTGGGTTTTAAAGACAGTGTCTTAATTAACAGTCTCTTGGAAATTAATTTAAAACAAATCAATATCCTATTATTATCACTTATATTTGACTACTGAATTAGAATTGCATCGAGTGCGAATATTGCATAGGAAACTGAGTTGACTTTACTACGAATGTAGGTGGCGCTGTAACTATCAATCAATTAAAAACTGATTTTTCATCAACTTACTTTCCACGGTATTTCTCGAGCAGGCGGAAGGCGTTGGCGTTAGCGAAGTCCTCGAATTGTATGAGACAGTTTTGACCGAACCGACGTACCACTGCCTGCATAAACTCATCCAAGAACTCATCGTAGGCGGCACCGCGGACGCGCTTCGACCGCAGCCCGATGTATAGAGGATCGTCTAGCATTACTTGGTTGTTGGTGCCGACATCTGCGTCACAAGAACATACAAAAAAAGAGTTGAGATACTAATCCCTTAATTAACTAAAAAATAGCAACAGTCGGTAGAATGGCGAAATATCCTTCTTTCATATTTCGCTCGCCCATCCTCCCCTACATCAAGTCCTTCTTATAAGTCCTTTAAAGCTTGATCAAAAATTCATGCACTAAATACGTGTTTGTTTTTCAATGTTTTTCCGAAGTATCAATCTATAATCGAACTCTATGTCTCCTCACAATCGCAAAGTTATCAGTGACTTCTCACTTCATAAAAACTTTCTATACGTAAAATCCTTCGGATCCTGCTACTCATGCACATATAACAAATGTGGAATGAATTTTCTCCCTTATCAAATATACAAATACTAAAGTCATTGAATACCTAAAACAAGTTTCTTATCTTTAATTAAAAGAGTCTGTTTGTTCGTTTAGTTGATCGTGCTAATCTCAGGAACTACTGGCTCGAATGGTAAAAATATGTTTGTGTTGAATGGTCCATTTGTTGAGGAAGACTATGGGCTATATTACTCGCTATGATTAATAGGAGTGGAGCGGCAAAGTAAAATGTTGCAAAAACGGGAATGCAAGATCAATATCGTTCTCACGTTGATTAAATACTAATAATGATATTGATTGCATACCCAGTGTGATGGGTAGGCACTGGTGAGGTTTGATTCCAGCCAGAGCTGTGTAGAGAGCCAATTTCCCCACCGGGATGCCCATACCACAAGCCCCCAAGTCACCAAGACCCAGTATACGCTCGCCGTCCGTCACTACGATAGCTCGCACGTCCGTCTCCGGCCTGATCATAAAACCAATAATAAATGACTGTCATATCCTATACTTATCTTCACAACTTCACGACAAATTCCTTGTCGGTAGACAACTATATAAGTTAAGAGAACAGATGGTCAGAAAACCCAATTATTTTTAACATTTCTAGGCTATTGTTTTTAACATTTCACGTAATAATAATGAACCGGTTATCTATAAAGACACCATCTAATAACTTATCTGAATTAAAACTGACAATCATACAAACGTCACCAGCCAGCAAAATTACACAAAACAGAGTTTTGTAACATTTTATTTGAATAATGAGTTTTTGTCTCTCAGCTTTAGATTAGTTTTTGTCTAAAAGTTAATTTTAAAATTGTTAAGAGGAACACTCTTGTTGTAACTTCGAATGCCATTGGTGAAGACTGAAGAGAAAAAAGAAAAATTATTTATTTAAATTGAAACTAATCTGCTTAGATGATTCGTAATATTAGGTGTTTCCTAGTTAAACCTTGTTCTAGGTTAGTGAAAATGGGTGTTAAATACATAGATTGTTTAAATACAAAACTACATAACATTTGTAAGATTATGGGCACAATAAAACGCGAATTTATAAACTTTTCTACGTTTTTCCTTTTCTACTTTTTATAGAAATATGTAATTGTAGTACTCTTCTAATAATCGTAACAGTTTTGATGCGCAATGTGCCATTTTTCACCTTGTCTATCCCAATAAGGTTACATTGACATTTAATTTCATTTTGTTTTCTCCTTTTATTTGGCAATTCTGTTGTCTCATATTACTCTTAACACACCATATGATTTTAGTACTCACCAGTTTTTGAGGACCTCGTAGATATGTCCTTTATCATGGATGGTAATGAACAGTCCTCTAGGGCGGCGGTACACGAGCCCATACTTCTGGCAGGCCAGACCAACAGTGGGAGTATACACTATGGGCAACATATCCGCCACGTTCTCACCGACGAACCGGTAAAATAGGTGCTCATTGCGGTCCTAATGAAAAGATACAATTTTAACTCACAATTAGGTCATCGACATTAGTAATATACTTAAGTATATTTTTTTTATCAAAAGTTTAAGAATTTGTAAAAATATTTATTGCGGCTGTTTGGATGGATTGCCTGAATATTGATGAAAATACGTTCTGTAGTAGCGATAAAAAAATGCCTACAATTCACATTCAATACAAATCGAATTCTTAGAAAGTAGATAATATAATAAGTTTCTATAGTCAAATCAGTAACTCTTAGGACTTATTTTACATTAACCACGTTTTAGTTGAGTGATCTCTTAATGTGGATATATCATCCACATTAAGAGATCACTCAAGTATTACGTAAGCACCAAAGAGGGGTGGAAGGTCATAGCTTTGGCTTAATTTTGGGCGACAGGGGGCCGTGGTGGTTACGTCAGCTATATTTATTTATCGAACGGGCTTGAAATATGGTCCCATCACCAATCCATACTGCCACACTAATATAATAATCGCGAAAGTAACTCTTGTGTCTGTTACGTTTTCACACCTAAACTACTGAACCAATTTTATGAAATTCGGTACACAAATAGGATACCTAGACTTAAGGAAAAGACATAGAATAGTTTCTATTTCTAAAAATAGATTTACAGCCAGTTGCATAAACTTCCATAAAAAAATTATTCGTTTAAAGTGACATTTCCCATACAAATTTGACATCCATTTGAACTTAAAGACGTCATTAAATCTTAGTTGCCGTTTGTGCAACTGACCGTATAAGGATTAATTCAGACCAAAGATTATATAGGCGTACGAGAGAGGAAGGATTTTGCTAACTTTCTTATATGCTAACATAATAAATGAATGACCCTTAAGCGTCTGCGTTAAATACCTATAATTCGGGCGAATTGCTAAATCATGCCCGGACAATTACATACGAGTATATACGCCATGAAGCGTCGTGTCGCAAGCAAAGCCGCGGGTTCGCGACCTCGCTATAGGGAATCACGCTTGATGGAATCCTCTCACTAAATAATGTTAATGTCTTTAGCTTTAGTGTTTCGCAATATTACTTACAAACTCTAGCCACGGAAAGGGTTTTTTATGAGACTATTTTTTAACCAACCTATGCCAACCTATGTCCTACAGACTTTGAAAATTGTATTTATTATTGTTGTAATACGTACTGTTATGGTAATGACATGATTTATGTAAATGTCTTATGATAAAGAGCTGGTAAGTTTCTTTCGACGTCCTGAATGAGAGGTAGTGGAAAAAATTTTTTTTTGATGATTCAAAAGTGCTTGAAACAAGCTTACTTGAATAAAGACATTTTCATTTCGTTTCGTTTTAAACGGTTTTTTCGTATGACGCTTCGGCTCATTTATAGCAGGGATTTCCTAACTTGGTCAAAAAACCCTTTATAAAAATTAATTGATACCTCATAGCCGTTTAAAATACCATCAACGATTTTTACCTAATTATACATAATACTCATCAATTCAAAAATATTGTGGCTGGGTCAATAGACAAACTTCTTTTCCCATCCAAATACAAGATTATAAAATTTCCAATAAGAACTTATCAGATCAGAGTAGTTCATTAACAATGTTTTCCATTATAGCATTGTGAACGCGAAATTAATCAAGTATAATAATTACCACTTGTTTTAAGTTAATCGATCACTTAAGGGATGCTTGCTTTACAGTTTCCGAGTTCACTTAAGATGCTAAGCGTTTAGCATTGCTTTTTGGAAATAAACTTTACTTACTTAAACAAAATTTAAAATTTAGGTTTTACAAAATATATAATAACGCTACAAGCTACACAGATTAAAGGTGCAGTACACCTAAAACTCATAATAACAGCTTCACAAGGAGTGTAGAAATAAACGCTAACATTTCTGTATCGTAGATGGTCTTAGATATATTTTAATGGCAATGATTACAACGCTGTGATAGAGATTGTTAAGCCCTGTAAACGAATTATGGTTCAAATTGATTATTCGGGCTTACATTAAGTACATAAGGGCTGCTACACATGGAAATAACTTTACGATATAAATCGATGCTCTCGACGTATAATCTGGTAATTGTATAATATTAATTTGACAAAATAAAAAAGTTATATCTCAATCACTATTTACATTAACACATTAACTTTCTTTACACAAAAATTAATATATTATTGACTAATACAGAAACGTATTGTTAGAAATAGATTAGAAATAATAGCAGGAAGAAGAGGCAATAAGAGAGTAATGTAATCTAGTATTTATTATATATACTAGTACTAAGTATTATTTATATAATTATTCATAATCTCAAAAGTTTACTTTAATTAACGTATTTTCTATTTATGGTCACTGAGAAATATTAATGACGCTAGTATGGTGGATTTTATCTCTATACTTTAATAATTATCTGTATGTCTGGCTTATTTATTTTTAGATTTCTAAGTTCCCCTTTATTTTGTCAACACTAAGGTACCTATAACGAAAACTAACGGACAAGTAATATTATGTCAACAAGTGTAGCTTATTACGTTATGTTAACATTATCCGCAGGAAAGCATTACAAAGATCAATATCAAACATTAGACCAGACAAAGAACAATCATTGTACAAACAATACAAATGTATGTGTTTTTCAAAGAAAAGAATTCCTGATCAGATACAAACAAATCCGTATTTTAAAGCGTAGTTAGGTTACTATATGATTCTATATGAAAGTTAAGGTTCCATTATGTGTCTCTATATACCCACTCCTATGAAACTTTCATATCGCAGCAAAGTATAATTTATTCATTCATTATTGTCAACACTTGCTCTCTTCAGGTTGTTACAATACAAGAACTATTGCATTCAACAGGAAGATACACTTTTCGGGTATGGAAAGTAATACGAGCAATAAAACGCCTTATTGCAAACCATCAAAATTTTCCAGGCATCCTACTAAAAAATAAATGTATATAAGATTATTAAGCGAATAAAGAATTCTGAATGGTCACAAAAAAAGAAAGTTGAACAGCGTCGCTAATTATTTGTATAATATGTACACACGTAGTGAATTTCACCATCAGATAAAAGATCTCTTTACGTAGACGTCAGTCTGGCCTCATTTATACAGACTGAAAAAGACTAAGCGTATCTCGTAAAGGTCATTTGGAGGATCCTGGAGGATTAATAATGAGCCATTAATTGCTTCCGAGTGTTGTTGACTGTCAACATTCTAAGCGAACAATTATATAACATTGTAATAATTAGAATTACAAATTAAATATTAATTTATATAATAATATTAACTTTTACTATACATAATCGTGATAGTTTATGGAGTAATTAATTAAAAACTGTTAAATCTGTTTTTCTGCGCAATTTCATTGTCGGGTGATATAAGATAAATTCAGAAAAACCAAATAGGAACAGGCTATTGGCTTTTAGCCTCCTCTTAATCTGAACTCACGTTTGTGATAGAACACCGTGTCATATAGTGCACAACACGCGTGGTTAGGGCAAATTGAGCAGTTTTAGTCACCTAGGTTACGACCGAGTTTGGTCATTTTAAGAGTTATAAGGTAGTGAAATAAAGGTATCACTTATGCCATAATTGAAAATTTTAAACACTGTTTACGGCAAAGTAATATATTTGTATCTACGTTAGTTAGAACGCCTTGATGTGCGAAGTAACCAAAAAGGGGGCGGTATGGGTCTTCTACCCTAATACAAAATATTAAACTAAACGACAAATAAAAACAAATAGATTTTTATTTGACGTATTTTGTGCGACTGTGTGCCTATTTTACTTTATTTGTATAAAGTAAAATAGAAGCAGAAGAAACATTTAAAATAGGCATTTGTTTGTATAATTGTTAAGTTACAAATGAGAAATTACTCACCAATAAGCTCATTAGGTAGATGTATTTGTTGAGAGGGTCTTCATACCGGTCGATGGACAGCTTACACAGCTGAACCTGTTCCTCCTGACACTTTACCCTAGCAGGTAACAGCCCGTGAATTCCTAACACCTGCCTCTCTTCAATGGAGAACGCCAGGCCCTGTGGAAGCAAATATAATATATGGATTATTATATGACCATATCAGAAGAACCGACAATTAAGAAATCACTCTTCATTTATATACTTTAACATTTTTTCATAACAAATGGGAACTAGTAAGTATAAATTGTCGAGTTTGTCTCTCGTGTTTTATTAAAACTCTGGAACCTATTATATGATACAAACAGAAAACTGGTGGCTTTAATGGAAACCAAATATTTGATGATAAAACATTTCCAAGATACTTTTGCGATAAGCAAAGCGAAACGAAATAGTATCATGCAAAATTGAAGATACGAAGAGAAAAGGAGAAACAAAATTTAACAATAAAACCCGATTATTTGATATATAATTATTTTTTCCCTCTTTTATTATATTGATTATAATAGTGGAAAACATCTTATTACTTGAGTGGTTTGAAACATATTTATTTATGAATTTCAATCTGTTTAAGCGATGTCTTTTCAAAAATTTCTTTACCTATACCATCGAGTGATAGCTATAGAAACTAAATAAGTTTATGGTATAAAAATAATTGTTTTAATCAACGGATACATATCGTCGAATCCTGATCTTGAGTATATTTACGCAAACAAACGTCTTGCAGTTCTAAAGATGTCATTATCGATGACTCAACATCCGTCTACTCTACAGTTTGCAAAATCTCAACACACACTGTAGCGTCATGTCAGCCCGGAAACAACGCGAAACCGAGCGGCAACCACAGTCAGCTGATATGGAGGCCGTCGCGTCACGGCCGACCTTCATGACTTAAAACTGGCTCAACCTTATAACATGGTGATAAAATTCATTTTAGAGTACACGTGCAAACCGATAGTGACGTGCCAAGAACGTCGTTTTTGCAGTTATGGGTTTCGTTGAACTTTGCGCTTTGCGTTTCACATTCATGTTAATATTTTCGATTAACTATTGTGGTTAACACAAAATAGCCATTAAAATAGAAGAAGAAGAAGAATATTTTTAAAGACTACGGCTACCTGCCATCTTTATCTTTCACTATTCATTTTACTACTGAAAGTTATTATATCATATCATCCCTAATACGTACCTTTATAAATTTGATTGATCCTCGTTTTCATTAATGTCGGTTATTGATTTAGGTAGGTATGTTTTTTATAATATAAATTAATCATAATTAATCATATTGCAACCCTTAATTTTAATTTAGTAGTTATGACGTTATAATACCAACAAAAGTTCCATATTACGCATAAAAAACTAGTAGCCAGAATCACTGGTTAATGTCCATCTACATTTCTTGTTTTTAAGCTCTCAAGTCTTTTGTTGATTAAATTTTGCTTTAAACTTCAAATATAAACAACCGTTTACATAATAATATAGCAAAAAATAATATCTGACTAGTAAGATTTGAAAAATGTTGTCACCTTAAAATATTATGTAGAGTCAATTCTTAAAAAAAAAGTAGAGTTTTACTTTTCGTGAGATAATTTTAAATATTTAATAATATTTTATAAAAATGATTAAATGATATTTGCGAGCCAATTTTAAAGCAAAACCATCTTCAAAACAAAAACTTTTTTTACAATGTTTATTATTATTTTAACTAATAATTACAAATCGGTCTACAATTTACGGAGACATAATGAAACATACAAAAAATAAATAATTATCTACCACATAGAATCTATTAAGTATATGAAGTAAGTTATAAATAGGTGAGTCTTTTAAAATAAAAATAAAACGCGGGATAACTCCAAGGGCTATAAAATTATCTTTGATAAAAACAATAAAAGAATAGAAAACAGAAGAGTCTAAAAACATATTAGGTGAGTGAAGTACACGATTTATATAAACGGTCTAACTTTGATGTAAAAGGGTCAAAAGGATATTTGGTAAAAACCCTTTTAGATTGAAATTCTCCGAGCCGATTGCTACGATTCGAGGTCATAAATCTTCAAAATATATATAACTCATTCGATATTCTGCCGCCTCTTTTATTCCGAGGCACCGACGGGCTTTTCCACTTCTTTCAAGAACTTTGATAAGTTGGTGAATGTTTTCGCCTCGCCATTTCCTCATTGGACTTTTAAAAGAGCTCGTTATCAAAGTAGGTAAATTAACAAAAGGCTGATGAATAAGTAATAAGGTGAGTAGTTGAGCATATACAGTAGTATATAGAACTAGTGGCCGCAAGCGACTTCGTCCGCGTTTTCCATTATTTCTTCGCTCCTAATAGTTTCAGCGTGATGTTATATAGCCTAAAGCCTTCCTCGATAAATGGTCTATTAAACACGAAAAAAATTTTTCAATTCGAACCACTAGTTCCTGAGATTAGCGCATTCAAACAAACTCTTCAGCTTTATAATATTAGTATAGATTTAATTTAATAATTCAAAGAGTATTCATTAGCTTTACGTTTTATAAAATAATATTTGTTCGTCGAGTTTTACACGTATTGAATTGATAATTATTCGAATAAGATGCGACTCCATGACGTCAACTTTTATGATCATTTCATATGCAAATAATTCAATCGCAAAGATAAAGAAAATATTCAAATTCATTCATATATTGTAATAGAAAAATATTTAATATTAAATCACAAAAGAGAAGAAAAACGAATATTGATGTTATCTATCCACTCCATAGACGACAACAATATATCAAATTTCCTCAAAAGATTTTGAACTCTACCGGCAATGCGTTAAGACTTCAAATCAAGAAGAGAAATTTGTCGGTTTTGTATAATCTGACATTACTGTTGCCTGTACATAACAATATAAATATATATAATGTACCAGGAAAGCAAACATTTTATCTTATTAAATTTTTGCGAGACTTAGTGAGTGGAGATGGATTAATTTATTAGATACGGTGTTCGCCTAACAGACGACTTATCCCGAGGCATTCAACCAGCTGCTATCCAATGATTAGATTACTCATACATAAAATTACTTTGAGCTCTTCTTAGGCGGGTTTCACAGGTTTTCCCTATGGATCGAAATAGAAACACATTGAATTTCTGTAAAAATCCGAGCCCGAATTCGAACTCACTCTGTACGAATTGACGTTATTTAGTGTAGATATTCTACTGGGGGCCAATTCTACTAAATAAATTTTGTTTAAATCGAATCGAAAACGGATCGAAACTGAACGAAACTACAGTTTTTAATGCATTTTCTATTCTACTAAGTGACATACCATACAATTTCATCTAAAATAGAACTGGTATTGTATCGTATGTCACTTTGTAGAATAGGAAAACCATTAAAAACTGTAGTTTCGTTCGGTTTCGATCCGTTTTCGATTCGATTTAAACAAAATTTATCTAGTAGAATTGGCCCCCAGATTATATATGATGATTACTCACTTCACTAATGCCACGAAACTTTAATACCAATTCAAGTCTATAAGCGGATGTCGCGACGATAATTCGGACACTTGAGTTAATTCGAATTCGGGTTCGGATTTTTACAAAACTCTAGCTTTGGTTATAGAAACGTTCTATTGATTTCATTAATTTATTACATCGATAGTTTGTAATTTTAATTTTTCATATTGAAACTGTTGCATCGTCTTTTTAAAGCCTCAGATACAACTATCCGGTTGACTTGTAGAAAACATTTTTGTTTGAGCAATAAAACTTAAATAAATAAATATTAATGTGTCATGTTACTATTTGATATAAAACAAAGTTAACTGTACAATAGTAGTAGTTTAATATACGAAACTGGTACAGCCCTTTGTGAACTCTGTGCCCTTATTTAAAATTATAATCCAACGTTAACCCTGGCTGGTGTTACGAATTGGAGGAGATTTGTTTGTTAGGAAGTATTGAAATGTGTAAGGTTATTGTTAAATTTATTTTATTACCAAATGACCCGGTATACTTACTGCGTGACACCTCTCACCGTTTAATAAACCTTCCTTGGGGGGCAAGTCTACTAAATAAATTTTGTTTAAATCGAATCGAAAACGGATCGAAACCGAATGAAACTACAGTTTTCAATGGTTTTTCTATTCTACTAAGTGACATACGATACAATTCCAGCTAAAATAGAACTGAAATTGTATCGTATGTCACTTTGTAGAATTAGGAAAACCATTAAAACTGTAGTTTCGTTCAGTTTAGATCCGTTTTCGATTCAATTTAAACAAAATTTCTCCTAAAAAACATCTCAATAGAATCTAAACGACTTGAATTTTGTCGTTGTACTATCTACCTAAAGTCCAATATTATAATATATCTAACACCATTGATGCGTTCACAATTTATTTTTTTAATACTTACATGATATGATATTTTTATATTATTTGATTTGAGAAGATATATATAAATTAACTAGCTGAGAATGCTCTACCAGTCAATAACAGAGACGAAATAGAATTTATACAAATATTCATATGGTACTAAGTAAATTAATTATAGCTGTGGAATTCGCTACCGGACTCGCTGTTTCCGGGCAAATACAATCTGGGACTCTTCAAGTCAAGAGTGAATCGGTTCTTTCTAGGCAAGCACGCTCCATGTTAGACCACTGCGTTGCTTACCATCAGGTGATCTGTGGTCAAGTGCTTGCTTATCAATAAAAAAAAAGTCATATCCGTAAATATATAGACTGTATGTTATATTGGATTACATTATACTTATATACACACGCTAGATGTTTAAATAAAGCCTCTTAGGCAATATTTTGAGTAGTAAATTAACACTACCTCCTATTTATAGAGTTTCCTTTTTCACGCAAGGAAAATAATTCTCTCTGTTTTCCTTTGTGCATCTATCTTACAGGAAAATCAATCATCTATAGTAGGAATTTGTATCAATGCTCCATTTTACATTTACGGTTAAAGCTTTAACGAATAATTGCCTTACATATATTAGACCTTTCAAAATATTTCTAATGCACTAAAAATAGTGGAACGTACCCTCGAGTCTACAGCCGCGAGACACTCTGGTATGCAGAACGGTTCCCGACGTGGTACCAGTTGCCACCAATCCCTTTCCATCTTCAAGC